TCCATCATAATTTTCCGATGCAATACTTCTACATGCGCATCTAAACAGGCTGATGGAAACATGGCTAATGTTAGCAACTAGCTTACTAATATAGTGGAGCATTTTGCATTTATAGAGCCAAATATTTTCCTCAGGTGTTGTAGACCAAACTGGCAAAAAAGAGGGTAAATATTGGAGTTATCTTGCTCCGTTCTATGAACGCTAAGGTTGCCTCATGTCTACTTGATGTTTAGATAAACCACTGTTGGAGCCAATATGGGTGTTTTTGTTTGCTGCCACACCACAAGGGGGCAGTCAACGTTTTTAGAATTGGTGATGGGTCACGTCAGTCAATAAAGTACAAAAGACACACAGGTGTGGGGATCAGTGTGTTTGGACCACAGGAGGTGTTACGTTTCTTACTGCAACACATAACTTTAAAACATAAGAAATTAATCTAGTAAATAAATAGGTTTCTGTCAACTACCACCACCACAGAACCGAAGAAAACGTCGCAAGTAAACACAAAGGTATGCGCATGCAAGAAAACACTTTAGTGATTCATTCACCGCAGTGGAAACCGGCACTGGGCCAGTTTAGCCACTACAACCACTGTTAGCTTACTCATTAGCATTTGTATCAATGTGTACATGACACCACTGCTTTCAAGAAAGTATCTGCATTGCTTTAGTTTTTGAGGGGGCATTCATCAGCATCTTGTTAAAAATACAGTAGTGTGAGTCACCAGGGTTAAAAATGACGTTTGTGAAAAATATTCTATGAGCAATGCATCACAGCAACATTTGCCTTCAAAATGTCCTGTATGCACTACACTCCTATTATTCTAAAGGCAACACACAGCTGTAAGGGCTTTCCACAGGTTATATATCTTTGAACTATCCCTTTAAAGTCAATGGTTTCTGAACCTCTTTGTGCTTTATCCTTGAACCTCCAGTACTTGCATTCATAAACGTACCAAGAGCCTATTGTGCTCTGATCCACTGCAATGCTGATCCAGGATTAGCCCAGAGGCATGAACACATGACAGAGTAAACTTTAGACTGAGGTGAAGATACAAACCTGCCTCATGTATACACACATTTGAGTGACAAATCTTTGGCACCAAGGAACAAACACACACACACACACAGGTGAGCTAAACTATCCTGACTGTGAAGTGGCTCAGTGTTATTTCCTTTTGACAGTGAGCTGTTAATGTTGGCAGCATATTGCAGAGCGCAATTTACACTTTTGTGCACAAAACTAATAAAAATGTGGATTTTTCTGTCAATGCTCAGTTGTCATAAAGGTGAATTTACAAGAGAAAAGGAGCTGCTTTATAACTTCCTGTCTGTGTTGGCTTTTAAATGAAGCTAAATTTATTCTGATGAAGACCTTGTGATGTGGTTTAAAGCTGTCTCTAATGGTTTGAACATCAGAGACAGTGACTCTGCCTCTCCTGCCTATCAATTCTACTTTTTCTTTAAAAAAGAAAAGTGTTATTTCTCCATTCAAAAGTTATGTAGTCTCACTTTAAGGCTTTTATATACAATAGCAGAGACACCAACACTATACACACAGTGTCAAAGAATCTACAGAGTGCAGCAATGTGTCCATTTGTCTTTTATTCAAGGCCAGATTTTCTCTGTGCTGCAACATGAGTTATGGCTGTGAAGTCTCGCCGGAGCCAACAGGCCTCCTGCCAGACTCTTCTCCTTGGCCTATTTCTGCTGCTACATTTAATAATTCACATTTAAAGAAAGAGAACTACACCATGCTTTGAAATGTAACCCACTTTCAGTAATTAAGGAATTATTTACATTTTTTTGTGACGTGTAACATATATGTCTTTAAAAAAAAAAAACTGCAGTATAAATGTAATTCATGAAATGAAACATGATGGAAGCAGCTCGAGGTGGTTCAGTGATACAGGACTTTAGCTCCACCCAGTGGCCCGTTTATTCACAATTTCTGTGTGCATTTGCGTCATCATGCTTTCTCAATCCATGGAAATCCGTGAACAACCCCCACCATCAAGTTAGATAAAGGAAGACTACAACCGGAAATGACAGGACTCTCCCTTCAAAATAAGACAAACCATTAAAAATGTTTTTTTTTTTTAGCAGACCAGTTCACAATAATGAAGCTACAAAAATCTGTCTTCACATATCATACACATATGTCGTGTCATTGTTTGTGGAACAAATTCTGCACCTGTACTTTATCTGTGTGATTATAATGTGGAGTGGACAATTATTAACGTTTTCATTTCTTTTTTATTTCTTATTTTTCTATTTAAATTAGCTTTTTCTAATCAATGGGTTTGACATGTCAGAGTGGATGTCGATGCTGTTTTCTTTTTATGTTTAGGTCATTTCACCATTTAAATTGGTCTTTTTTTTTATTTATTTTTTTTAATACTAAACACCATGTGCATAAGTGAAAGATGTATATAATGTAAATAAAAGTGTATAGTTGTGTG